GTGGATGGTCGAAATGCCATTTTTAAGCATAACAATACTAATGTCGTTTGAACTGTGAAGAAACGATACCGATGTCGTTGCACTTATAATTTCAGCTGAAATGATTTCGAACTTGTCAGATTTGTAAAGAAACGAGATGGACAACGTTACGTTATTTCACTACTTGGTACATAACGATATTTATATCGTTCCTTGTATAATTTTACGACTTCTAACGTGTTTCAGTTTATATAACATCTAAAACGACCTCAAAGTCGTTTCTTCAAGAACATAACGATATTTATATCGTTATACCTAGAAACGACGTTTCGACCGTCCTCGATTGCTGCACATACCTCCAAAATATATATGACGATCGAAAAAGCGTAACAAGTGGGCTGGTAGCTCTCAAATGGTTCGATAGAGCCAATGGAGATACCCTGTTTCTATGGAAACAATCTGAGTGTGAAAGACAATTTCAGCTGAAACGATTTCAAACTCGTCAGATTTGTAAAGAAACGAGATGGATCAACTTTCAGGAACAATTATGCTAGAACAATATCAATGTCGTTCTGAACGAGAAGAAACGATAATCAGAGGAGTAGTGTATATTTAACATTGAAACGATATTCATGTCGTTCTGTGTCTCATGAACGCTTTTGAAATCATTTTAGTATTAATTTTACCTGAAACGACTTCTAAATCGTTAGTTTTGGTCATAATGAGGTCTAAGTCGTTTCTCAAAATCAGAGAAGTAATGTGTATTTAACATTGAAATGATATGAATGTCGTTTTTGTCCCAAAAACGAGTTAGGAATCGTTTTAGTATCAATTTTAGCTGACACGACTTAGAAGTCGTTATGTGTGTCTATAACGATATCTAAGTCGTTACTCAAAATCGGAGAGGCAGTGTGTATTTAACATTGAAACGATATAAATGTCGTTTTGTATACCAGAAACGAGGTAGTAATCGTTTTAGTATCAATTGTAACTGAAACGACTTTTAAGTTGTTATTTATGTTTATAACGAGTTCTAAGTCGTTACGCAAAATCAGAGAAGTAGTGTATTTAACATTGAAACGATATGAATGTCGTTTTGTATCCCAAAAACGAGGTAGAAATCGTTTTAGTATCAATTTTAACTGAAACGACTTTTAAGTCGTTATTTATGTTCATAACGAGTTCTAAGTCATTACGCAAAATCAGAGAAGCTGTGTATTTAACATTGAAACAATATGAATGTCGTTTTGTTTCCCAGAAACGAGATAGAAATCGTTTTAGTAACAATTTTAAGGGAAACGACTTTTTAAGTCGTTATTTATGCTCATAACGAGTTCTAAGTCGTTACGCGAAATCAGAGAAGCAGTATGTATTTAACATTTAAACGATATGAATGTCGTTTTATGTCTGGAAAACAAGGTATAAATCATTTTAGTATAAATTTTAACTGAAATGACTTTTAAGTCGTTATTTATATTTATAACGAGTTCTAAGTCATTAAGAAAAATCAGAGAAGCGGTGTGTATTTAACATTGCAACGATATGAATGTCGTTTTGTGTCTCAGAAATGATTTATAACTTGTTATGTTAATCTGTACAATTTTTGAATTGGAACGACATTCATGTCTACTGTAACGACATGAAAGTAGTTTGCATTCCCTGTGAGAAAATAGGAACATGAATACCTAAAATACTAAAATTTGATTCCAACGGTATAAAAATATTTCAATAATACAATGAGTACAAAATCTAATAAGTGATTTCATTCAGTTGATATAATAAGTACGAAGTCGTACAGTTACAAAACAGGATAGTGTTACAACATTAATGTTCACTACTAGCTGCTTGGCCCGTGGAAGTGGATCAAACATGACTAGTTTTCTTACACCTGCTGCACTTACGAGCCACAAGTGTCCCTCCGGCCGACCTTTTCCTCTTTTTTTATGGTCATTCACCTTGTCTTCGTACCAATGGTGAAAATACTTCTTTAGCTATCACATTCTTAGGAATTTGCCATTCGACCTCGTTCGGCAAAGGATATACGAGTTTAGAATAAGCTTGCTTCCAACAAATACTAGTGTAAAAGGGGGTACATAATTTATAACCCTCGTCTCCTTTAAACCTTGCTGCAGCAATTGCATGCGCACATGGAAACTTGTCCAAATCAAATCTTCTACACATACATGTCATTTCGTAAAAATCCACAAAGTGGTGTTCTAAATTGTCACCAACTTGATAAATGTTCGGAGAAACCCGATTTTCCTCCAACCTATTTGACTAATTATATGTCATGCATATCTTTTTCTCTAATGCTGGTGTGAGTTGGGTCACGCATTTTTCTGCTTCAATATGTCTTTCATAAAACCACATTTGTAGTATCCCACGAGTATATTCTAGTAAACCAACTATGGAAAGTTCTCGAGCACTCTTCAACAAACCATTTATAGATTCCGCATTATTTGTAGTCATGATATTGTAACGTATCCCGGTATAATGCGCTCTAGCCGTTGATTGAAAATCTTCTTCTAATAGGTATTCTTTGATGCCCTCCTTTTTATTGCATAGAGCTATCATGTAGGACTCAAATTCGGTAACAGTATAAGCCTCTGACGCTGCCCTAAACAAAGTTGCAACATCACACCGTGGAAAATTTGTCTTCAAGTTCTTTTGCAAGTGATATGTACAATTACCATGATGAGCAAATCGAAACACATTTCTAACTCCATTTTTTATGCACTTTGCACGGTCAGATATAATCACAAGGTCATCCGTATCACCTGTTATTAACCGCAACTTCTGAAAGAACCAAGTCCATGATTCATCATTCTCCAAATCAACTACTCCTCATGCGAGTGGAAATATTTGAAAATTTGCATCCTGAGAAGTTGCTACGAGTAGAGTACCTTTCATTCTCGATGTCAAGAATGCACCGTCTACAGAAATTACCTTTCGCATTGAGTTTACGAACCCATGTATACTTGTTCCCAATGCCATAAAAAGGTACTTGAAGCGCCGATCATCATTAGTATGAATGAATGTCAGTGTACCAGGATTTTACATCTCCAAAACATGACATTACGCTGGCAATTTTGCATAACTCTCGGGGGTTTCCCACGAATCAGTCCACAAGCAAAAATTTTAGCCATGTACGCTTTAGTATAGCTTACGGTTATGCCGAACTCTCGACGAATGTCATTAATAATGTCCCTTGGTCTGTAAACTCGGTTGACATCTTCATACTTAGGAACGATGTGGTTTCCAATAATCATTTATGAAGCATGCCTATGATCTCTGTGACGAACACTCATGGAGCAAGAACGATGACCATTGTACTTTCGAACTTCGAAAATGGGACTTTCTACGATCTTGGTTGCCCGTAAGCGCCACTTGCAATTTTCATCAATACAAACAATTGTATAAGTGTTCTTATTTGACTTCTTAACTTTGTACTCAAACTGGCACTTCACAGCTAGCAACTGTGATTTTGATATTAGGTCATATTTCGATGGAAACAACTGGTTGACTCGCACATCTAATCGTTCCGGAATTTTTACTGATGTCTCGTAACAGAGCGAACTTACACTTTCAGATACAATCTGAGTACATTCAACATCATTCCATTCACTATATCCCTACTGCAAGGTTCATGTGTGCGTAACTCAAAATTATTGTCATCTGCTACAGGAGAATTAACTTCGTCATCTACCCTTCGGGGACTATCTTCACTTACGTCAAAACCATTACAATCTACAAATATTCCATCACCATTATCATCATTACCATCGTTGTCTGCTCTATCTTGTTCCTCCTCATTGTTCATATTTCCAATTTGTTCTCCACCATCTATTACTAATAAACATCCTTCATCACCAAAATCTTCCTAATTCTCAACAACTTCATTTAAAATACTTACACAAAGAAAAGTTTCTGTACAAACAGATATAAATCACTTTACGTTATTGTCACAATCAATTATGATTGGTGCAGTTGGAGCTTTAGACATTCTCGGGACAAGAGCTGAAATCTCCATTTTGTATAGACTCGTATCGATATTCAATGCCTCCTTAACTTTATCATATAATTCCATGTAAGAAATTGTTTTTGCAACAAGAATAGGTATTGTTTTCCCTTTGCCATTTCCAGAATACTTCCATTTCCATCCACCTTCAACTGTCTGCTCATATTCAATTGGATAACAAACCGATATCCATACCATGTCCATGGTGTCCATAACCTGTAACTCAACATATAAATTTCATCAAATTTCAAACATCATACAGTATTGATAATGATATGTACGTTGTCATGGATTTCAGAAAACGATATCTATGTCGTTCACAATTTCATAAAACGATATGAATGTCGTTCTATACTGAAAAAATCAAATACACGTTTCACGTGAAAACAATGTGAAAAAGGCCAATCATCATTCACCACTTTACATTTCACTTCAATTAATACTAAGGAATACAAATAAGGGGTAATGAGAATAAGATTGGGAACCCATTTAAAGATCCAATCAAATCATAAAATAAATTCAAAATATTATTGAAAAATGAACACCACAAACACATATACAACAACATGAACGGATGATTCAAAACAATGGAGAAAGAAAGTGGCTCAAATATCGAAAATTTACCATACTCTCTCTTCTTCTCCAAATGCCCAATAAAAATATAGCAATACTTTATTATTCACTTCAACCAAATGAATGTTTAAGGGAATGATAATGTAGATTTTGTGATTTCATTAAGTAGAGAAGAAGATGATGATAAGAAAATCAGCATTGAGACATCTACAGTGGTTGAGTCGTTCTTAAAGGAGAGAGGGAAGGAGATTATGATTGAAAGGAAATTGAAATGAAAATAAGGGCAATATCATCATTTCACATGCAAGAATATTTTAGTCTTTTACAAATTCTATTTCTCATATTTAATAACTTTAAACCTTTCAACTAAAAGTCTTAATTGTTGCTCTTTTTAAACAAACGTTTAGTTTGACGAGCCTTTTAAATGAATCCCCCTTTTATTTACCCGTTTCTTGTTTCATCTTCAAAAACCCTCTCAAGACCAACACAATACCCCGCTCACCCTCTTAGCAATGGCTCAACAGCAAGAAATCGAAGCCCTCCGCCACTTGGAGCTACGCCTCCTCCGCTGCACGTTGCCGTCCGATCATCCCTCACAACCGCCGCCGCCGCCTCTCCTAACGCTTTCTTCGCCATGTTCCATCCTGCATTCCCTCCTCAACGCCGTAGTTTCACTAATAGAATCTGGAAATTATCTCCAAGCCCTCTCCTCTTCCGCTTCTCAATCCCTTTTTGCCAACCTCAAGTTCGTTTCACCCGAGTCCGAGTCCGCCAGCCGATTCTATTCGGATTCGCTTCTCGAGTGTGTGGACTCGTTCTTGAATGTTAATGGAAGTGAAAATTTGGAACCGGAAAGTATGGAATTGAAGGGTTATAAAGTGTTGCTGGTGATGGCTATTGGTGTTTCAGCTTTACTTGCCTTTATTCAGTGCAACATTACTGGGTTAGTCAAGCTATTAATATCTCCCAGAGTTGTTAATTCGCAATTTCTCTTAAGCTTTTAGTTCTTAAAAAAAGGTAACTTTTTTACTTCAAGGTTGGGAAATAAATTTTAAGAAAAAAGTAGTATAATCATGCTCGTTTGGAGACAAAAATGTAACTGGTAGTGGGAACATGTGATCTAATAGGGGCACAACCTGCGGTTTACCTCCTCTAGTCACTGAAGGGCCAGTGGCTAGGGGTCCAGATTTAGTCTGGCGAAGCTGGGACACCTGGGTATCAAAAAAAAAAAAATGTAACTGGTAACTTTACTAGCCAAACATCACTTTTTTCAAAACTACCCAGATTCTGTGAAAGCATCGGGCAACGTGTAACTTTTTGCGTCCCACAGACATGGTTGGATTAGAGTTTTAATTTGTAATTTTCTAGTAATGCCTTGCAAAAGTTTGGTTTCATGCTAAATGTTTGTGTAATCAATTGCAATGTGAGAAAAAAAGCTTTCACCTTATACTGCCTCAGATGTACGTTGCATGTGACGAATCATTTGTTGCGGGAGGGAGATACTTAATTTATTGTAAGTGTAGCTGGTGTGTAATAGGCTCTGATTTTTATGTTGCTATTGACTTATACTTTGGATACTTTGAGTTTGCGCTTTTTCATTCTATGTCTTTTTATTTACTCCCAACATTTACCCTTTGCTTCAATTGGTCATGGATGAAACCACATATTGGTAAAGATTAGCCTCTTATGTTATACACTCTCCCAAAAAAAGGAAAAAGAAAAAAAATATCCTTTTATATGCCCCTATTAGAAAGGAAATGTATCTTTTAACTTGTGGTAGATTTAAAGCAAACATATCCTCACTTTGCTCTTTCATGGTTTTCTCAATTCTAGTCTCTTCTATAAATCTTACGTCCTAAATAAGCACACATTCATAAGCTCATGCATGCACAAACATGTTCTGTTTTCGTTATTTTCTATACTAGAGCTGTAATATCATATTTTTGTACGATGACTCCTGACCACAACATAAGGTACACTATTGGTGGAGTTCACTTTCGTATTATTGGTTTGAATTCGTGGCGTTAACTTGTCCTATGCATCATCAAGAAAAGAAAAAATCACCCTATAGATGGTTGAGAAGAAGAATCGCTAGATAGTACCTTATGCGATGTTAGTATTTAATAATCTAATATATTTTGAATTACGTGTTGAAATGAACATTCTTTTCCTTGTTTGCACACATGTAACAGGCCAGTGGAGAAGCTGCCTTGGATGCCACTTATGGCATTGTCAACCTGGGAGGGTGAAATAGGAGAAGGTGATTCAGTGGAGTGGGAAGCATGGGCACATAAGGAGCTAATGTCTGCCGGTTCCGAATTGCGTGGAAAATTTTCTAATCTGCAGGTAATACCTACTAGCTTTATAGTTTTTATTCATATTATTATTACTTCACCTGTTTTAAAACTAAGCATTTCTTAATATTCACCGTTATTTTATGCTTGTAGTGTTCATTTATGTTTGTCACTCTCTTTGATACTATCATAATTGTTCATTTCTGAATGAATTATTTATGCTTCATGGATGATCCTTTTTTCTATTGAATGGTCTTAATAAGACAACAAAATATGATCATTCTGAATCATTTTGGTGTAGAAACGTTAATCATGTTGATTTTGGTGATGGTGTGATCAGCATATGATGCTATATTTCTGATCTTATTGGATCTTGAATGCGTAGTCACTTTCCACCTCCTACTGGGAAAGTACAAAGGTTGTTTTGATGCTACTTTTTACATTC